GCATGGTCAGTATGAATTGCCACATTATTTGGGAAAGCCCCTGCTTTCCAGGGGAGGGTGTGATGAGAACTGATACCGGGTTTCTCATCTTGATTTAGAAACCTCTCAAAAATGAAGCTTATGAAAGGGACGGAGTTCCCACGTACTGACGTGATTTTTCTGTCAGAAAGGCTTTCGTATTTCTGCAGATGACAGAAATCAGGCACCATTGCTCAACGTAGCTGCAGGATGGAGCTCAGACTCGCGTTGCTCTGACAGATGAGCAGCTCTACTCCATCATCACCCACCTGCAGCAGCTTTTCCCCAACAAGGATGCTGAGGAGGAGCGCGGCCCCTTTTGGGGAAGAGGGGCATGCACTGTCCGTACCCTCAGCGTTAGGGGCTGCTGGATTTCCAGATGTAACCCCAACACCTTCGGTCACAGAAGCCTCGCTCTGGGACTTGCTGTTTCTTGTATGCCGAAGTTTAAGCCTCGTCCAAAGGACAGCCAATACACAAAGCGATGCTGGGAACCACACTGGACGCTGGAAACAATGCTGGAAACCAGCCGAGTCTTGGCGAAGATACTAATCATTACTCAACGTATTTATTTTTTTTTCCTGGGATATTATTTTCCTAAGGCAAATTCTATTTTGCGTTTCAAGCCCAGTTTCCTAAAGAGCTTTGAATCCTGTGAAACTCTGTTTTGAGGGTCTTTTTGTACAGCAGATCCAGTGGATAAAGGCCGTACAGACTGTCCGTACTAGGAACAAAGCCTGGCTCTTTTCAGTTGTCGTTATAACTGATACCGGTTGAAAGGAAATCTTCCTTCAGAGTCGGCAATTTGTTAGGCACGAGAGGATGCTCTGCTTTGTTTCTCTCCTAACTTTGGAGAGGCATTTTGGCATCTAAAAGGCCAAAGCGTCTCCAGATGCTTCTCATCAGCAGACACATCCTACAGTATCTGCCAAGGCCGGTCCTTCTGCCACAACCTTATTATAAATCAGTAGGAAAGAATCAACTAGAGGGCACGGATCTGTAGAGAACAAAGCACCTTCCCCTCCCAGGATCATGGAGCAACTTGTTTTACTGGATTTTACCTGGGAAAATTTGCCTTAAATTTTAAAATTACTTTTTCTCTTCCTTAAGAGAGCACGCAGTCTTGCTGAGATGCACAGAGCTCGTGTTTCAGCCAGCACGTTGCCTCCTCAGTTGGTTGTGGGACCCATCGTGCCCTGGTGAAGCGTTGAGGTAGTCGCAGACACTGGGAGGAGGACATTCGCCGGGCCCTGAACCACAGCACATGAAGCCCATCTGTGGTGGACTTGATGCCCTGGCCAACGAGGAGGGAACAGCCAAACCAAAAGAAAAGCCCCTGTACTTCTCCTGGATTATCACAGAGTGTCACCCTCGCTCCACCTGTTACTCTGCTGGGTTGCATTTGTGAGGAGCTAGAAAGGGTGTGAACCATCTGCGTCGGGGACCAGCTTTCACGTTGGAATCTGACCTCCCCTGTGCCTGGCTGGGTGGCTCTCTTCCGCTTTTCTCCTCTCTGGAAGAACATGAAAACACTGGAAAAGAGTTCAATGGTCCTTACATACGTGTAGCAACACCTCCTCGTCCTGAAGCATCCGACTATTTGCAATAAAAGCCTGTGGCGTGTATTAAAGGTCAGGTGTTATGGGCTGCAAGAAAGGGATGAACATTTAACACGTGGGCCTGTAACCGCGACCCAACAGAGCTGCCGTGTGTCCACTGAGGTCCCGGTGTCTCACTTGCAGCCATGGGTGCTCCAGCGCGGCCACAAAATAACCAGAGAGAAAGAGTCGGCTTCATCGTTGCATGCAAACTGTTTCATGAGAACTCGAGGCCGATTTAGTCTCAATGCACCGATGAGCTGAACGAGGAGAGCTGTGACGGTGGACAGGTACAGCCGCTCAGTGTGGTACATGATGCGTTGGCATCGCCTGGTATTGACAATGTGTGCGGCTGTTCATCACTGCAGCTGTTTTCTCTTTTGTTCACCAAGAAGAAAATGCCTAAAAAATGACCTTGTTTGGATTATTTTGAACTCTTCACAAAACAAACATCCTGTGAGGTTTTAGTTTAGGTGTTAACTACATTTTTGTATTAAGGACCAGTGTTGATGGGCATTGTGTTTGTACCCACTGAGCTCAAATGCCTCGGAGGGAAAACGCCAGGTTTCATCTGAGTTTTTAATATTGATCTTTGAGACTGAATCAATATATTCACACTGGAGATGTGGTTATGATTTCCTCCCCTTGCTTTTTATAGCAATGAGTAGATACATCTCTTAATGATCACTGAACAGAAGTAATGCCACAGAAGGATTAGGAGTGTAAAGGAAATTATTGATAAAACATAACAAGGATCAAGCTCACTGATGATTTAAAAAAAAAAAAACACCCAACAACAAAACCCACAACAAACCAGAAGTTATTTTGCACTAAGTAAAGACTAGACTGAATTTCCTGGAATGCTATTGTTATAAAATGCTTTTACACTACTGCCTGGCTCTGGTGACCACAGCCACAGATATTTCATGTTTGAAGAGGCAGACGAAATACTCTGCAAGCAGAGGGGAGAAGTCTCACGATTGCCAACCCTCATTCTCATGGAGGGCTTCGGCTTACCCTATGTCTGCTGGAAATACAACACGGCGGAGAGGAAACAGCCCGGGAGGTTCCTGGAGCGTGTGGAAGGGACCTTCCTGACACGGCTGGTGAGGGAGAAACGAGGGCAGGCGGCCCGCTGGTGTTGGCAAATAGAGGGCTTGGGGGTGATGGGATGGTTGGTGATGTGATGAGAGGTGGTGATGTAGTGGTGGGAGGCTGTCCTGGGCAGAGCGATCGCACAACGATAAAGGTTTTGATCCTCAGAGAAGGAAGGAGGGGGCTCAGCACAACGGCCACCTTGGACTGCTGCAGGCCTGGTTACCAGAGACCCTTGGGAGGCATCCAGGAAGGCTGGATGTTCTTCAAGAATAAAATCTTCCAGGCATGGGAAAAGGCTGTCCCCATGTGCCAAGAGACGAGCCAGCGGGGAAGAAGACCCACCTGGCTGAACAGAGAGCTTGGGCTGGAACTCAGGGTAAGGAAGAGTTTGACTTCAGGAAGAGAAGGCAGGCATCAGGAGGACCGCAAGGAGGTCGTGAAGTTATGCAGGGAGAAAATTAGAAGGGCCAAAGCCCCGCTAGAACTTAGTCTGGTGACTGCTGTAAAAGACAATTAAAAATGTTTCTATATTTATATGAGCAACAAAAGGAGGGCTAAGGAGAATTACCATCCTTTATGAGATGCGAGGGAAACCAGGTAACAACGTCTGAGGAAAAGGCTGCGGTACTTAGTGCCTGCTGTGCCTCAGTCTTTAATAGAAAGACCTGTTGTTCTCATCAGGGTACCAGCCCCCTGAGCTGGGAGACAGGGAGCACAGTGAAGCCCCGTGATCTACGTCTGTGGGGCCCGATGGGATCCACCCAAGGGTACTGGCAGAGCTGGTGAAAGTGCTCACCAAGCCACTTTTCCATCATTTACCAGCAGTCGTGGCTCACCGGGGAGGTGCCAGCTGACTGGAGGTTAACAAATGTGATGCCCACCTACAAGAAGGGCTGGAAGGAGGATCTGGGGAACTACAGACCTGTCAGCCTGGCCTCGGTGCTGGGGGAGGTGATGGAGCAGCCCATCCTGAGTGCCTTCACCCGGCAGGTACAGGGCAACAGGGGGTCAGCCCCAGTCAGGATGGGGTTAGGAAAGGCAGGTCCTGCCTGACAAACATGATCTTCTATGACAAGGTGACCTGCTTAGTGGATGAGGGAAAGGCTGTGCATGTTGTTCACTGTAGTAAAGCCTCTGACACTGTTTCCCATTCTCCTGGAGAAACTGGCTGTTCATGGCCTGGAAGGGTGTACTCTCTGCTGGCTAAAAAACTGTCTGATGGCCGGGCACAAAGAGTTGTGGTGAACGGAGTTAAATCCAGCTGGTGGCCGGTCATGAGTGATGTTCAGTGCTTGCACCCAGTTCTGTTCAACATCTTTATCAGGGATCCAGACGAGGGGATCGAGGGCACCCTCGGTCAGTTTGCAGGTGACACCCGGCTGGGTGGGGGTGTTGGTCTGCTCGAGGGTGGGGAGGCTGCAGAGAGACCTGGGCAGGCTGGAGCCATGGGCCAAGGCCAACTGTATGAAGTTCAGCAAGTCCCAGTGCAGGGTCCTGTGCTTGGGTCACAACAACCCCACACCACACTACGGGCTTAGGGCAGAGCAGCTGGAAAGCTGCCCAGCGGGAAAGGACCCCGGGTGTTGGTCAACAGTGGCTGAACAGGAGCCAGAGTGTGCCCAGGGGGCCAAGGAGGGCAACGGCATCCTGGCTGGTGTCAGCCCTGGCGTGGCCAGCAGGGACAGGGAAGGGATCTGAGCCCTGGGCTCGGCACTGGGGAGGCCGCCCCTCGCTGAGGGGGTTCAGTTCTGGGCCCCTCACCCCAAAAAGGCCACTGAATGACTCGAGCGTGGCCAGAGAAGGGCAACGGAGCTGGGGCAGGGTCTGGAGCACAGGTCTGCTGGGGAGCGGCTGGGGGAACTGGGGGGGTTCAGTCTGGAGAAGAGGAGGCTGAGGGGAGACCTCCTGGCCCTCGGCAACTCCCTGCCAGGAGGGGGCAGAGAGGGGGGATGAGTCTCTTCTGCCAAGGCCCCAGCGCCAGGCCCCGAGGGAATGGCC